CCTTGTAAGTTGCCAGTGACTCCCCACTGTTTCCAGGATACAAGACTTGGTCAAAGGCAATGACCTTCTGTCCTAATCTGAAAGGCAAGGTCCACACTGTTCAGCCTGACCTCCAGGGCCCTCAGCAGTCCCAGAGCACCACCCTGGCTCATCTCCCTCTACTTCCCTGGTTGGTGTCTCCCCTGGAGCCAGGATACCATACGCATCCTCACAGCACACCATGGACAACCTTCGGTGCCTTCCTACCTTTCTCAGATGAATTTTTTTTTTTTTTACCTCAGATGCCTTATAGCATCACTCAATCACTCATTCCTCTCCTCATTCAACACACGTTTACTGGTCATGCAGTGGGTACCAGCCCCATTATTACAGGGGGCATCCTCTTGACCATTCAGATTGCACCAATTCTTCACGATACACATCTCCCACGATGCTTCCTTAGTGCCTAAGAACCTGAAGAACCTTTTTCTCCTCTGCATCCACTGCATTTACTTTATCATATGTTAAGCTGCTAACCCCAAGGTCAGTGGTTTGAAACCACCAGGTGCTCCACAGGAGAAAGATGAGGCTTTCTACTCCCATAAAGATTTACAGTCTCAGAAACCCATGGGGGCAGTTTGTTCTAAAGGGATGTTACAAGTTGCAACCAACCTGAAGACAATGAGTTTTTGGTTTTGGCGAGGGCCCATCTGCTGTCCAAAAGGTATGTCAGTCAAGCCCACACTGGTGCTCCACTAAGAGTCAAAATCGGTGAGATGGACCTGTCTTCTGGTGCTCAGCATCGGTAGCCTCTTAACTTCTCTGTGATGATTGCTGATGGTCACCGATGTTCTAATTTTTATGTAATTCTCATATGAGTATGCCCAAGGGAATTTTGACACACTCGACGACAACGCTGAGATGCCCTGCAATGCCCATCACCAGTTGGTTTCGGAACAAATGACCACACAGTATCAATTAGACAGGATCATGCTTAATTTTGTCATTCATCTAGTAAGCTATGCAATTATTCAGTGAGGATCTCTGATAGCTTTAGGAACTCGTGTGGCACAATGGTATGCTATGGAATGTGTAGGCAGTGGTTCTCAACCTATGGGTCAAGATCCCTTTGGGGGTCAAACAACCCTTTCACAGGGGCCACCCGATTCATAGCAGTAGCAAAATGACAGTGATGAAGTAGCAATGAAAATAATTTTATGGTTGGGGGGTCACCACAACAAGAGGAACTGTAAGAAAGGGTTGAGGTCTGAGGAAGGCTGAGAATCACTGTGCTACGGAGTCACGATGAAACTGTGATGCACCCCATGGTATGGGTGGAAGTGGAGAATATGATGCTGAGTGAAGTTGGACAATCACAAAGGGGCTAGGGCTGAGTTACTGTCTCAGAGACCCACAGGGGCAGGTCCACTCTGTCTATAAGTTGGGGCCCACTTGATAGTTGTGAGTTTGGGTAACTGTGACTTGATGATCAGACCCTGTAATATTACGGCCTCTGACAACCCTATTTGGAGAGACATTGTATCACCTGGGGTCACCTGGAAGGTACCTAGCCACAACAAGATAATTACTATTATGAAGGAAGAAGGCAGAGAAAAACTCCAATCGTCCCATTTGGACTGATTTTTCAGACAAGAGAATATTCCAAAGACTCTTCTTGAATGGATGGTATTTTAAACTGAGAATCAGGATAGAGTGAAACTTTTAATTTACGCAAACCCTAGTGGGACGCGTTGGAAATTTCTTCAGCAATGATCACCCACCTGTTGACCTGATGCAAACACCAATCTCCAGAGATGGTTGAAAGCATTTCCTTACTGGTGGGAGGCAGCTGGTTCCCTAGCATAGGAGAGGTGGGAACTATCTCACGACACAACAGTAGGAATCAAAGGGTCCAGAGAAGGCAATCACTTTTAGTGGACACTGCAAGAGGAAATGAGTAAGCCAAGCCTAAAATGCGTTCCTGGGTCACCTGCTTGAGGGGGAGAGAATCTTGACCAATAAAAGGGTGGTGGTGTGGTCCTGGTCAGTGCTACTCTGGCATCAGCAACCTGATAGCCCACAAGGCCTGCCCTTGTCTCCCTGGACGCTTCTTATCAGTTCTGACCAGGTGGGGCTGAGGGGATGATGGCACACACGCTCCTTTTCTCCAGCGAGTGACAAACAAGTTAGATGATAGGCTAGTTAATAATGAGAAGGACAAAAGGCAAACAAAGCAAAACTCAGATTACTAACTAGGAATGAAACTCGAAGGCCCAGTCTGCAGAACAATAACCAAAAAAATGTTGCCCATGGAAATGATTGGCTGGAGATGTAGGAGTATGTAGGCTTTCTTGTTTTGTTTTGTTTTTTTGCCACCTAGGCAATTCATCTCCAGCTCTCTCTCCCCCGTGTGTGAGGCGAGTCTTCCAGGGAACAAGTCCTTGGGTCGTGGCAAGGGAAGGGGGAGGGAGGGACAGCTGGTAGGAGAGGCACAGACTGGGAACAAGTTCACAGTGTTCCTCTCTGGGGACCCACAGAATAATTGAGAATTGGCTCTTTCTTCTCTGTCCTCCATGCTGCCTGTAGCTGCCCCAGGACTCTGCTGTCCCCAAGTGGCCATTTGGGTCACTGGGGGCTGGCTGGCCTGGTCTTTGAGATGCTCTGTGAATAGGTAAGCGTCCTTGTGATTGCTGCTTCAGAAGGTTGCCCTGCATATTCTTTGCTGAATCCATCATTAACAAAAGAGTGTGGCAAAAGGCAGTGGCATGGTGGGGTGCCCGGGTTTGGAGTGGGTCTAACCCATTTTCCAGGCCCCGTGGCAGCATTCACTAACTAGCAGTGTGGCCTCTGGCAAGTCCAGCAGCATCCCGGAGCCTCAGCAGAGGCTCATAAGGAGGTTAAGGATGTGTGCTGCTCTGACGTTTGGGGAAGGTAAACACACTGTCGATGTGCTTGCTTGGGACACATGGCATTGGGAACAAATGCCGGAGGAGGTCCTGATGAAATAGAAGGCCAGCAAGGGTGATGGAGAGCCTTGGAGTGGATTGGCATAATGGGCACCATGATGAACTAGAACGTGTTAGCCATCACGAAGACAGCGTGGGGCCAGGCAGTGTTTTTCTGGTTGTACATGAGTTCACCTGAGTTGGGACCAACTTGACACAGCTAAAGACAGCAACTACCAGACCAGAAGAAAAGAGAGCTGTGTTCTGGCTCCTGGGGTGGTGGCCCCTGTGCATGATGCTGGGCGAGTAGCGTCTGTGAGTTAGTCATTGGGCTACTTCAAAGCCATCAGCCTCGCCTTGGGAGGAAGACAAGGCTGTCTGCTCCTGTAAAGATTCACAGTCTCATAAAACTGATAGAGCGTCACCATGAGTCAGAACTGACTGGATGGAAATGGGTTTGGTTTATGGAGTCCTTGGGCAGTGTGAGAGGTTGCAATGGTGAATGTGTTTGGCTGGTAACCCAAGGGTTGGAGGTTCAAACCCACCCAGAGCATCTCAGCATCTTGTCTAGTGTCTTCCTTTTTTTACCCTGCTGATGCCCTTTTTACGAAGCCTGGTGTCTTTTCTAGGGACAGCTATCTCCTGATAGCATGCTCCAAGGACAAGAGAAGCATCACCATGCTCATCTCTAAAGAGCGTGCTGGCTACACTTTGAACACAGATTTGTTTGCGCGTCAGGCCGTCCTTGGCACTTTCAAAATTCTTCGCCCGCTTTAGAATTCGAATGCACCGATTCTTCTTCCTTCTGCGCCGGCTACCGTCGGCAGGCACAGGAGGCGACTGAAAACGACCAGGGCTTGGGGATTTGAGATTTAAGATGAACAAACGCCCAGCTGCCCGCCTGCTTCTGGAGACTGACTCCTCCCCCGTCAGGAAGCAGCTGCCGGTGGGGAAAGAGGACCGGGGAGTTCTGACAACTTTGGGTGTCCAAGGGCAGTCACGGCCGCAGCCAGAGCTGAGGGAGCCGCTGAACTGAACAGGCACCTCGGGGTGATGACCCCTGGGAGAAGGGTCCATGCGTGGAGCAGAAACAAGACGAGCAGCCCAGACAGGACCCTTGCTCTTCATTTAGCATCTTATGTCTGCTTATTTCTTTGAGCCAGGCCCTGTTTTGACTTTAAGGCCCAAATCTCTAAATCAGATGTGTTCAGAAAGAAACAGGAGAGGTTTTTTTGTTTTTAACGTTTCTCTAAACCTGGGCTATAGGGAGGAGCACTGAAACACAGGCTGCGCTAACTCCGGAGTGGTTCTCGTGTCTGAGACCGGAGAGGCCCCAGTGGAAAGGGCCCCTTCATCTCCGAATCCACCGTGACCCGGCAGCACCACGTTGGCTTTCCTAAGTGAAAAATGTTGGACTCATTGGTGGGAACACTGCCCGCTGGAAGCCCAGCGGTGGGAGCTCCCCCATCTCTGGCTTCCAGGGCCTTTCTCCTCCGTAGGGCAAGGGCCTAGGGGATGGAAAATCCAGATGGAATCGATCACCTCCTCACTGCGTGGCATACGGATGGCCCTTTCTAAGCCCTACCACCAACCCCTGTCAGGGTCCCATCTGAGTTCCCCAGACCTGGGGCTTTAACGTAACCTGTGCGTTACCACAGCTGCAGAGGTTCTCAACCTGTCGGTTGCGACCCCTTTGGGGGTCGAATGACCCTTTCATAGGGGTCGCCCGATTCATAACAGGAGCAACATTACAGTGATGAAGTAGCAATGAAAGTGATTTTGAGGTTGGGGGTCACCACCACATGAGGAAGTGTATCAAAGGGCCACGGCGTTAGGAAGGGTGAGAAGCGCCGTGCTAGAGGTTTCCACTGGATGATGAATTTCCCCTGAAATTAATGGTCACTGGAACTCCTCATGAGTGACAGGCGGGTAAGGAGAATGCGCTTTAATCACCGTACCCGCCCCCCCCCCAAAGTCACGCAGACAAACGTCTGGCCCAAGCACAAATGGCACGACACGATGCAACTCAGCTTCTAGGGGCACCTCCTTGGCCCTCGCCAATAATCCCCAACGGAGAGATTCAGGGGTGCTCTCCAGGCTTGAACATTAACTGTGTTCCTCTCCCCCAAACTCCACGGTCTCAGCTCTGTTAGGGGGAAATAGCAATCCACTTCCACTCCTCCCCCACAGACACATGGACAGCAGCAACCATTCCTGGAAAGTAGCATGCGGGGGCCAGAAGTAGGAGACCGGGGTCATTTCACCTCCTGAAGACAGGAGCAGCTCTGGTGGCTAGTGGTGACGAGTCGGGCGGCTAATCTGAAGGTCACCCACTCACTGGAGAAAAGGGAGGCTTTCGATTCTCATGAAGTTCCAGTCTGGGAATCCCCAGGGGCAGTTGTACCCTGTCCTGTAGGGTCTCTGTGAGTCAGAACCAACCTGGTGGCCGTGAGCCTGAGCACTGAAAACAGGTAAAAGGGGAAGACCGTCTTGAAGACGCGTTGACACAGGGCTAGAACAACGGGCTCACACGTAAAAACAACTGTGTGGATGGCGCAGAACCGGGCAGTGTTTGGTTCTGTGGTACCTGGACTTTGCTCATCCTTCAGTCAGTCAGCATGCCAATGTCCTCAAACATGGAAGTGCATCCCATGATACTCCCAGGAGGCTCTCTGGGTTTGAATTTCATGTGCCACAGTGAGTATCTTAGAACAATGCTGCACGTCTCTAGGTGTTAACGGCAAACTTGCACGTGCTTTTCTTACACCCTTCACTCGGTAGCCAGCACTGAAAAGCAGCAGGCTTTTCAACTCACAAGATGCATCCACCCACCAGAATAAGCCCGCTTTCCTGTCACATACTGTTCCCCGAGTGGGAGTCCTCAGAGCCCCAAGGGAGATAGCTGGGTGCTGTCCTTCAGTTTCTGGGCTTGTCAGAGCTGCGCTTTGCTTGGGCAACAGGGCAAAAGCTCAATGGGCCCCAGACAATGCCTTTCTGACCCAGCAGTGCCCACTGGTGCCCACACACTATGTGAGCGTGCATAAGGACTTCAGCAGGGTGTGGTGTTTCCTGGCACAACAGGGTGACTTGCATTGCGGAGAAAGGTTTCTTTCTTGTCTTGTGGCCCGGTCCTGAGAACACAGGAGAGAAAGCTCGCCCTGGGGAGGCAGGTCCCCGGCATGTCCCTGGCACAACATTACTTCACAGCCTCAAGAAAGCCCCATTCTTCTGTGGCCTCCACTCCTAATCGCTAAGATAGCTCGCCTTGCCCGTGAATTTTTACAGGGTTCTTAAACCCAACCATCCTGTGAATTAAACCTCAAGAACTAATTTAGGATGAAAATGCAGATGAAGACACTTAGGTAATTAAATCAGCTTTTCATAGTGGGGAGAATCTGGAAATATATGTCTCCTGGCCCCCCCAGCCCTCCAGTATGGGACTGGGTGAAGTGGATCATGCCTCATCCTGTGGATGGGATATTTTGCTGCCACCAAAATGTTTGGGGGAGATTTTTTAAGCACAGGGTGAAATCATCACGAAATAACATTAAGTAAAAACAAAAAACACCACCAGGAGGCAAAATCAGATACAATGTAGTCTTAACTATGTCTTACCACCTGTGCTATCTTTTGAATACTCCCTTTCCCCACCACCCCTACACACACAAACAAGTTCAGAAGAAAATATATCAAGTGTTGGTGATAAACTATATCAAGTGGTGGTACTGTTTCTCAGTAGGGAGATTATATGTGAGCTTTGCTTTATTCTTTATCTTTCGTTTTGTTTACCACTCCTTCAAAAGGAACTGTAAGATCTGGAGGGGGTGGAGAGGGGATAGTTCCTCTAAAAACAGAAATTTTGAAAAAAAATAGAAATTTTGGATGGGGCTAGATGATTTCTACATTTCTTTACAATTCTAAACCTATTCCATTTATGAGCCAAGGGAACAAACATCTCAAGGTAAAAGGTGGGCTTTGCTATTTCCAGCAATAGTTGCTCCTGGAGAAGAAGGCATTCCAAGCCTTGATCTCGTTCCCACCAGGGTCAGACTGTGAGAAACGGGCAGGCCTAGGTTACAAGGATACAAGAAGCCATTCCAGGAACCCAAACATGACTGCTCTGCTTCCTGGCACAGGTAACGTCCATCGCTCTGCTTCGTTTTCTGCTGTTTGAGTTCAATAGGCAGCATGGTGGGGTCCATTGAACTTACCCAAGGATCATCGAGAATTGCTCTCGTACTGAGAATCTCCCCGTTACATCTGCCCCAAGCAGAGGGGCAGCAAGAGAGGAGGGCCCCCAGGGAGACAGATCGACAGAGTGGCTGCCACAATGAACTCAAGCCCAGGAACAACTGTGAGGATGGAGCAGGGCCGTCCGTGTTTTGTGCTGTTGTGCATGTGGTCGCTGTGGCTGAGAACCAACTCGGTGGCACCTAACAACAACAACAGCATGTCCCCACACATTACTGTGACGTTTGCTTGGAGACCCAAGAATGGAGAGAATTTATGGCCTAGGATCACGGGGGGTTGTCCTTCAAACCATGTTTCCCCTTCTGAGATCTCTGGTTCTCCAAAGTCAAACACAAAGCAGGGGGACTTCACCTGTGTTTCTTCCAGCTCCCTTAGTTTCCAAACGCACTTTGCTAGCACTTGAGGAGGCTCCCGGGTAAAGCTGTGAGACACAGGGCGTGCAGGCGTCTAGTTCTGGGATTGGACGGCGCTGATTCTATGCGACAGATGTTGAAACCGTACCCTGTCCTCAGTGTATTCTGACTTTGAGGGACCCTGCAGGACAGAGAACTACCCCAGATGGTTTCCAAGCCTGTAAAACTTTATGAAGCAGACAGACTCATCTTTCTCCTGTGGAGTGAGTGACTGGTGGGTTTGAACCATTGACCTTCCAGTCAGTAGTCAAGCACGTACTACTAACTACCAAGGTACAAGCCTGATCGATATTAAACCAAACCCCAAACTCACTGCCATGGAGTCACAGGGACCCTATAGGACATGGTAGAACCGCCCATTTGGGTTTCCGAGACTAACTCTTCAGGGGAGTAGAAAACCCCTCGTTCTCCCACGGAGCTCAGCTGGTGGCTTCCCACTGCCCACCTTGCGGAGCTCAGCCCAGCTGTAACCACTCCTCCACCAGGGCTCCTTACCAACATTGAGTTACAGAGACCCCAGTTCATCAGGGTCCTGTCTGCCCTCTTGAGTGTGAACTAGCTGAGCACGGACAACTCAGGCAAAACGCCCTCAGGAGCGGAGTTGTTCTCCCACCATGGGCAACACAGGACTGGGGGACACAGGCATCCACAGCTCCCCTCGGATGACGCTACTTAGTGGAGAGGCGCCCTTGTCAAACTCCTCTGACGGTAACTTTACAGTTGGCCCCCAGGCTGAGGGCAGAGGAATGAGAAATTCTGCGTCTGACTCTTAAAACCGTCAGGTTCCCAAAGCTTGTCATAGACGCTTTGCTGTTATTGTGAGGCGCCATCAAGTTGATTCCCACTCAGCAACCCTAGGTCGCACACTGCCCAGTCCTCCAGCACCGTCCTCACAACAGTTAGGCTTGAGTCCATCACGGCGGACACTGTGTCAACCTGTCTCCTCGGTGGCCTTCCTCTTTTCTGCTGCCCCTCTGCTCCACCCAGCACGGTGTCCTTCTCCAGGGACCAGTCTCGCATGGCAACATGCGCAGAATATGTGACACAGAGATTCGACTCCTTGCTTCTAAGGAGCATGCTGGCTGTACTGTTCCCCAGACAGATGTGTTTGCTCTTTCAGCAGTCCACGGTCCTTGCAACATCCTTCTTCAACATCATCGTTCCAACACATGGACTCTTCTTTGGTCTTCCGTATTCGATGTCCGACTGTCACCTGCATGTGAGGTGATTGAGAATGCTATGGTTGGGTATCCAGTGGAGAAGAATAACAATGCTCCTTCGTAGGGTGCAGAGGAATGAATGAGGCAAAACAGGCAAAATGAGTTAGCAAGACAGGTGGCACTAACGCAATGTGGGCTCTTATTAACGGTTGGCGTTTTGGCTGTACTTGCTGGGGACGTTCCCTCCTCTGCTTGCAGTTTTCGCTTCTTGGCTTCGAAGTACTAGAAACAGAAAGGGGATGGCCCTTCAGCTTGCTCCCAGTCAGCTGACCACTTCTCGAACCCTACCACTTGTCACTGGATTAATTATTATTAATAGAGCCGACAAAACATTCTTTTGGCTTTTAAAATCATGGTGTAAAACTCCATTTTTGATCCATTGAACTACCGAAGCCAAATTAAATTAGCCATATTACATTTTAATGATGCAAAAAAAAAAGTCTTTCTGCTCATGCTTCACAGAGGAGTAAGTCTAACCCTGTGAGACGTCTGTCGTCATGCAGCAGGAGCGCTGCCCTGATGTCAGGGGAAGGAAATTCCTTGGCGTGCCTTTCCTGCCCTTTTGCTCACTGAGCCGCTTCCCATTTCCTGACAACTTCTTCCCAAGAAGCCCGTGTGGTGGTCCTGTGTCCTTTCAGAGAAACCCCTGTGGCATCCCCAGACAACATCACCTCCTGAGTTGGCATCTCCGCCTTGTGGATGCCCTCGAAAGGCGCCGCCTTCACCGCACTTTCCTGCCGAAGGCTCCCCGTGAGGCGCGGGCAAGTGCACGGCCGAGAGGACTTGTCTGCAGCTGCCTGCTGACTACAGAGCACTAACAGCTTATTGGCAACAGACCCGAACATGGGGGAGCTGGGACCTCATGCAAGGCCTTTGGACACTCGTAAGCACAGCGTTGCAGCACGTTTGTGGCCGGAAGTAAGTGGATACTGGCCTGGCCTGCAAGGCGGGGATGAGGATTGTGCTGAGAAGGAGGATGTGCCCCTCGCAGGGTGATTATATATGATGCGAGAATATTCCCAGAGTTTGCATGTACAAGAGGCAAAGTTGTAAAGACATGGTGGCTCTTTGGCAGGAGATAAGTAGTGGCACCGAGCAAGGCAGGGTGAGGTCAGTCAGGGCAGCCTCTCAACCTCCCCAGAGGTTGTGGGTCTGTACGCCAGGTGGAAGATCCCACGTAGGGATCGTTTTGAGAAACCTGCAGGCACAGGAGTTTTTGCTCTAAGACCTATTGAAGTAGGATTGCATTCCTTCAACTTAGCAAGCAGAGACGGGCAGTGCCAGCCAGTCAGAGATGCTTCCTGCTTGCCAGGGGCTTTAGGACAAGAGCCCGGGCCGTCTCAGGGCTCACTCAGAGGACGTAATGCAGCAGGGTGCACACTTGTGTAAGACTGAGCTTCTCACTCTCCTGACTTTGTCCCCAAAGGTTCCCGGCTGGCCCTCGGCTCCCTGACGATCCGGCCACAAGTGAACTCCTGCTTTTCGGTCTTCTGCCACAGCTCTCCCATGCAGCCCCTCCCTCCACACCATCTTTCCACCTTCTCTTCAAGTCTCCCACGGCCGCCTCAGCCATCTCCCCAGGGCTCCCCTCTTCCTGACCTTCAGCGGCTCCTCTGAACATTGTGTATTTTCTGGCTTCGCCCTGCCCGCAGATTCCTAATCTGAGACAACCACACCTGCTGATGGATGAGCGCCTTTCTGTGTGGACACCCCGGCTGATGCTGGGCAAGGCACACAGCCAAGTAGAGAGGTGCAAGCCCAACGTCTTCAGACCGACACCCCTCAGTGCCCCGCAATCTCCATCTGCCCCTGGCCAGCCACCCCTGCGGCACCTCCTTGGCTGTTCCCAACCTGCACCGCTCAGCTGAAGCTACCCATTGTCCCCTGTCCAACAACGGGCCCCACGTCTTACACAGAGTGGCCACCACCTCTGCCGCGAGGGCTCCCTTTCGGTTTCCAGATGGTTTTCCTGAGCTCCAAACGCAAGCTCATGGACAGAGTCAACCTTCATGACCCCTCAGCGTGCAAGGGCACGCCGATTGTCCTGGTTTTTATTCGATTCGGTGTATGACATCCAGGGGAGGCAAACCTGGAGAGACAGGAACTGGACTAAGGATTTCTTGGGAGTATGGCAGCGGGTGGGTCGGGGGGCCAGGGGGTAGGGGTTGAGGGAAATGGGGCACTCTGACAATGAGTACAAGGAGGAAGAATATGTTCTAAAACTGATTGTGTGATCATTGTACAGCACTTCTTAATATGATGGAACTCTTGACTCTTATGATATATGAATTATATGCCAATGAAACGAAAATAATTCGATAAGAATTTGCCGGTCATTCTAATTCATACTATTGTACACGTTGGGCTCTCCAGTGAAAACTGATGATTGACTTCAAAGTAGAGAAAGGTAAAACGTCTTTTCTATTATTTTTTGGTCTAGACATGGAAATAATTTCTTCTCCAAGAAACCCTTTCCCACCCTATTTGGCTGAAAGAAGGTTCGGCAGGGCCCCTGGGGGAAAATGACTAAGTAATAAATTAGGGGAGCCCTGGTGGCAGAGTGGTCATGACTGGGCTGTGATCCAACAGGTCAGCAGTTTGAAACCACCAGTCTCTCTGTGGGAGAAAGACAGGGCTTTCTGCTCCTGTAAACAAGGACAGGCTCCTGTAAACAAGGACAGAAACTCGGAGGGGTCATTCTGCTCTGTGACTGTAACTCAGCATTGAGTTTAATACACTTGGACCATATAGACTCCCTCCTCCTAACTGGGTTTCCAAGGAGAGGAGAGAATGCATGCATGGGGATGGCGTGTTGCACTGGGCATACCTGCTGCTGTTACACAGCAACCACGTCCCCTTGAGGACTACCGTGCGCCTGACCGTAGTCATGCCCTTGCAGAAGCATCTTGTGCATGTGAGAATCAGGGCGCTGAGAAAAGAGGACAGGAGAAGAACTGATGCACTTGAATCAGGATGCTGGCAGAGTATCGAACATGCTGTTGTACGGACAAACACGCCCATCTTGGAAGAAATACAATCAGGATATGCCTTGGACGCCAGGATGGAGGGCCCTCAGCTCACTTACTTAGGACATGTCCATAGGAAAGCCCAATCAGTAGCCATCGACCATGCTAGGTAAAGTGGAGGGTCCAGGAAAACTCAGAGTGGGATGGACTGACACACAGCCTCAGGAATAGACTCAAACATAGCACCGGCCAGGAGGATGGTGCCGGACAGGGAAGGGTGGCATTCTGGTAGCTACAAGGTCACCAGGAGCTACAGCTGTCCCCATAGCAACAGCCAGGAGTGAACTGGATTAGCTTGGGTCCTGGCAGCAGTTATTTAAGAACTGGCATCTTTTAAGGCTGGTAGAATCCACGCCTTCATGTTCAAGCTTTCAGGTGGAGGGAAGGTTAAATCATGCTCTGTTATATTGTATCATACTGAGCCATGTCATATGATATCACACCACACCATACCCAACCCTGTCATACCACACTACACCCTACCAAAAAACACCACATCTGACCGTGGCTACAACCCCCAGGTCCCCAGGTAACTTAGAAAGGCCATGGTGTGGTGTCCAGCCAGGCTGGCCTGAGGGCATAGCTCCCGGGAAGCAAAGCTAGGACTTTGAAACGGAGTCACCTGTCCATTCTTTGGCTGGCGGTGCGCTTTCCACGCCTTCGACTGGAAACCAGTCCTCAGGGAGACGGGAAAATAAGGACGGCCAAAGGGCAGTAATGCTCAGGGTGGTCAACGTCGTTTTCTGTCTCGTAAGTTAGGACAGGGGGGCCAAAGCAGGCTTCCTCCAGGACTTCAGCCAGTGTATCGGCGTGCCCCTCACTTTCCTCTGGGATCACCTGCATCCAGGATGAACAGGGGCCCTCCTCACCTGGCCTGACTAATAAAAGGGGGGAGGCGCAAGCCACAGAGAGAAAGTGTCTATGGTGCCTATGGTCCGCTTCAAGGTGGTGTGCGAAACAAGGTGAACAGAAACGAAATGCAATCCATGGAGAACCTGCACGCCGGAAGGAACCAGAGCTGCACTGGAGGGAAACCCACGGGGTCAGCATTTTAAAGAGCAACTGCCACCGTGTCCATGTAACCCAGCGGTTCTCAACCCGTGAGTCGCGACCCCTTTGGGGGTTGCCCAATTCATAATAGCAGCAAAATGACAGTGATGCAGTAGCAATGAAAATAATGTTGTGGTTGGGGGCCACCACAACATGAGGAACTGTGTGAAAGGGTCACAGCACTAGGAAGGTTGAGAACCACTGATGTAACCGTTTGCTTCGTGACAGCCTCCGAGTTTTGTGTCTCGCTGAAAAGTTTCTACATTATTTTCTCATCCTACATTGTCACCATCGAAGGTGGCTTCAGTGGGGTGGGGTGGGGTTAGTTTGAGAGGAGGTGGGCTTTCAAAAAAAATCAATTGAAGCTGAAATATTTTTATCATATTTGTGTAGATTCAAGATGATGAAGTCGATTGTATGGCCAATGTGTAGATGTTGTGTGCATATAAAATGGATATATATATATATGTGTGTGTGTATATATATATCAAAAGCATTATATATATCTCAAAAGCATTTTTGCCCCAAATAGTACTTAAACAAAAAAGTTCGTTGATGGTAGGTTGTTGTATTAGGCGAATGCCATTTTCCTAATGAAGCTGGGCTTCAATGTTTCCATGTGAATAGCATTGCCCAGGAAGATGAGCCACTGTACGAGCATGGCCTCTGTGCAAAGCTGGCTGCCTTCTCTTCTTCCCACGTGTCTCAGACAGTGCCAATGACTTGGTGAATAATGTCAACGGGGAGTATGGACACGGGATGCTTAGTGACTGAGTGCTTCCCCTGGGCTTCTCTGATGGAACAAGTTTCCCTCTGAAAAACTAATGAGATTTCACATCTTACCAATGAGCTATGGAGAGGGCTTATTGAGTATTTATGTGTGTCTACATACATGTATACTATAGATAGTACACACACACACTCACACAGCTTCTCTGAGCAACTGGTGGTGGGTTTAAAGCTGTTGACCTTCTAGAGAAGCAGGATTGCTGGGTCTTCCTCCCTCAGAGCGGCTGGTGGGTCAAATCACCCACCTGTCAGCAGCTAGGGGCTTAAGCACGGCACCACCTGTGGAATCTAAGGAGTTAAAGCGTCCCATCAAACATGGAGTCACAGCGAGGGCAACGCACAAGCCTTAGCTTTGCTTTGCTTGAAAGGGCGAAGTTGACACGGGTGTAGGTTTATACCTCGTGAGTGAACCCGAAACAGCAGCATTTGGATCCTGCAGGCATTTTGGCCTTTCATCTTCAGCGAGGGACCGCCTGGCCCCGATGGCACCACTATTGGTGCACGTTGTCACAGCGATACATCTTTGGCTTAAGAGAAGCGGCAATGATATGGGCAATGGTACCCGTACTGGACGAATTCCCAGTGGCTCCTCTGCTTAGGAGAAGCTATGGTCCTGGGGCTGGGAAATGCATAGAGAACTCGCTTCTGATGGGAACAGCACGGGGCTGGTCTCCTGAGTGCGATTATCTGTGATTCTACTCTGGTGGACTTGTTGAAATTCAGCACAACCACCCGCTGGCAGGCCAGATTGGGGCCAACTTGGCAGGTGTAGAATGGTGAGCATCATGCCAGGCACGGGGTTTGGTCCGAGGTTGTGCCCGCTTGGTCGGGCGCTTTGTGGTAAGAATCAGACTGCTTAATTCAATTCGGAGCATTTCTTACGGTGACAAGCCTGGGAAGCGCATTCCTACCTGGCACAGATGGCACAGAAAGGCTCAGTGATCTTTTTGTGGTTTGTTTTTGTTGCTGTTTAGCTTTCACGTCATGCTGTGGGAAGATATGGCTGACATAAATACATTTTTATTTTGTTTGGTGTCATTTTTCGATGCAATTTAATTATAGCAAGAAGGGCGCACGGGAAAGGCTCACCATTAAGGGGACCCATTAGGGGCTGAGGAGCGAGCACAGGGCTTTTGCTGAGCACAGTTTTAGGAAATAAATTGTGCATGCCATGTAAATAATATGACATTTGGTCGCAGTCCATTTGGTTTATGCATTTTGCCCAGAGGAGCAGGTGATCCCAAGTTTAATTTGCCCCTTGCCTACTTATTCTTAGCGCCAAGAACAGTTCTTCGGACACCAATACGCCAATTAACCAAATACTTCTGCCACAGCTGCTGAGATGAGGGGTGGGCCCCATCGACGTGCTTCTTTTAACATGTTCTTTTATTCATTCATTTGAAAGCACTTCATCGGGAGC